GAGGTCCGGGAAACAAGCTAAAGGAAAATAAGTAATGGAAAATCTGGATGTTTTTAACCATTTTTATTTTGTATTTTTGTTATTTTCTTTTCATTTTTATTGTAATATTTTAAAAAATCTTAATAAATATCTTAAAAAAAACCAAATATACTGCTTCAGTAATCCCTCCTCCTTGTCAGAGTATTTCAGCACAATCCCTGATCTGGAGCTTTGTGTAAAAAGGAATTCTCTCCACCACAAGAATGTGCTTCAAAGCTTTTCTTAAATACTAGCTACAATAAGATAAATGTTGCAAAATAACAAAGTAACACATAGCAAACAAGCAATAAGTTTCAGTCCTTTATGCAGTTCAGTAAACTTTCCTCTCTCTGGTCCCAGAACTAGAGCCTAAGCTTGTTCATCATTACAGAACTTGCAGCCACCAGCCATCTACAAAAGGCACAAGCTGCCTTCTCAAGTTTCACCTCCCTGCTGTGAGAACTCTGCAGCTTGTGTTTCCAGAAATGAGTCATCAAAAGTAGCTTATCTCAATCTAATGGGAAAATTCCAGCCTTCTCCGACGCTTTTGCCAGAGTGGAACCTTTTTACCCAAGGCAAACTTTCCATTACAACTTTTTAAAGACAATGCATTTGAGCACATCATTTTATGTATATTAAATTTATAACACTAACACAGCTCAATCCCATCACTGTCCTTGTGGAATTCAGGAGGGAAAAGGATGGGGACAAAAGTAGAATTTGCCAGGTCAAAAGCAGAATTTGCCAGTTCCGTCTGGTCTGGCCTTGGCTCCGGCTCCTGTCCTTTCACCCTATCACTCCCAATGGGTACCAGCTACCACTGTTTGTGGAGAGGTTATATGATGGCTGTGGACACAGTCTTGTTTACTCCACATCCAGTGTGTTCCCACCACTGGTTTGGGAAGCAGAGCTCACACAAGGTTAACCACATCTAGTCTGCTGTTTCTTAGGAAGTGCTGTGTTTCCCTCGCAACCCAGTTTTGATCCTAATTGAGAAAAAGAATGACCTCGTTGCATTTTAAGGCAGTAATGTATACAGAGCTGGTGTTTCATCAAGCAGTTGTTATCTCCTGCTTCCCAGTGCATTTGCCTGTCGCTTTCATTCCTTATTGCAAAGCCTGATCTCTTTTTTGGGGGGGAGGGGAGGCGAAACAGGCTTGTTGCACAAGAGACCAAATCTGCCTGCTTTGTTTTCTTGTTTGTTTATTTAAAGGCAACTCCAAAGTGCTTAATATTTTAAAAATATATTAATACAAAATTACAAAATAAAAACAAGCAGATCAGTATCACAAAACGGTTCCTAAATAAAAACAAGCCGTATTATTAAAAATAGGAATTCCTCAATAATATGATCAAGTTTCATGCATCAGGAAAAGCCTAATCAAATGATATGTCTTCACAAGATATCTGAAGCAACTGATGGATGATGTTTGGCAGAGGAACGTGTATTCCAGAGTGCAGGGGAAATGGCAGAAAATGCCCGTTTTCAGATCACCACCCTGTGATACTCTGTAGGGCAGGGGTCCCCAAACTAAGGTCCATGGGCTGGATAAGGCCCAAGGGACTTGTTTATCCGGCCCGCGGTGACTGCCGCCTGCTGCCACCGTCCACTCTTACCGGCACTGCGCTACGCGGCTGCCCACTTCCTGGTCAGAGTAACACTGGAAATAGCTTGTGCGCATGCGCAAGCGTTATTTCCGGTGCACATCTGGGTCGGAGGAGGCCCATGCACATGAGCACAAGCTATTTCCTGTGCTCCTCCGACCCGGAAGTGAAGCGCTTATGGGAGCTAAAAAATAAATTACACAGTAGATCTAGCTTGTGTGAGGACTATGTAGAAAGAACAAGAACTGAGGGCTCTGTTGATTCTGCAATAAAATCTCATGTGCATGCAGCCAGAGCGTTGTAGTACTTTAAACACCTGCAGATTTAGAAGGGGTTAGCCTTTAAAATTTCTTAGTTTTGTTTCCACCAGTATGGATTCTTGAACTGCAGCTGTTTGAAATGGCCCCTTCCTTGACTTGCCAACTGTGGACACTCCCAACTCCCAGCTATTGTTTGACCAGGCCAGATCTGTTCAGCATGTGACCCAAAGCCCTTAGTGGTTTGGCTTGTCCTTTTTTTAACCTCTCAGGATCAATTTTTATCGAGATCTTTCTTAACCTAATGCGCCCAGGTCCTGTGAACAGGGTGTTCTACATGCAGAGCTTTCTCCTGCCCTTCTAAGATCTTACACAACTGCCAGGCCCATCCATGTCAATGCACACAAGAATAAATGCTGCTGAAGAACTTGCATTCTTGGCACAGCTTGTGGCATGAGGAAGGGAGAGGGAGTGTGAAGGCCTCCTGCTGCTTTTGTGAATGGGCCGTTCCCTAGATTGCTCTCCTGGGGACCTGGATGTGTAAAGCGACATCTTCATTCATGCGTCATGGACACCTCTGCTCTCAATGGGCCCTGGCATTAACTGGTGGAGATATCTAGATATATCTGAGAGAACAGCAGGACCTCCAAAATATGCTTTTGTCAGGGCTGATTGCAGGCTAATAGGAGCGAGTGGGTGGCTGATGCTTCATCAACAGGAGCTAAATGCCAAGAGATGGCCTTGTGATAGCTGGGGATCTCGCCTGAATGTTTTGAGAGATGCCCATCAGAATTTGGAGAAGATGCATTTCCAGCTGAAAGGGAGGAGGCAGAGGGGAACTGACAACACCCCCACCCCCCTTGGAGATTGGCAAAGGGAAAGGCAGACTGAATGTTGAATTCTTCCAGGCAGAGTTAATTTATTAGGGAAGATTTTAGTGTTTGATGCTGTATTGTATTTTTACTATTTTTGTTGGGAGCCACCCAGAGTGGGGCAACCCAGTCAGATGAGTATCATCATCATCATCATCATCATCATCATCATCATCATTGTTGCATTCAGTGCTTTTCTGGAGGAACATAGGGGTATGCATACCCCTAAACTTTTTGTGAATCTTTGTACTTTTGTCCATTTACTGTATTTATTTCCTCCGATTTGAACTATAAAATGGTGATTTTCTTGAGTCAAAATGAGCGTACCCCTAAACATATATTTTTTAAGGGGGAAAAAGCACTGGTTGCATTTACACTCCAAGGAGCTCAAGGTGGGGTGCACTGTTCCCCTTTCCTCCTTTAACCCTCACAGCAGCTGTGTGGAAGCTTAGGTTGAGAGGCAGTGACTGGCCCAAGGTGAGCTTCATGGCCAAGTGGGGATTAGAACCCAGGACTCCCAGGCCCTAGCCCAACACTCTAACCACTATACCACACTTATCAATGTCCTATCTAGTCTGGCATTCTGTTCTCACAGGAGCTAACCAGATGCCTATGGACACTCTGAAAGCAGGACCTGAGCACAGCAGTCCTCTCGCCCTGCAGCAACTGGTATTCAGAGGCATAGGTAAAGGTAAAGAGACCCCTGACCATTAGGTCCAGTCGTGGCCGACTCTGGGGTTGTGGCGCTGATCTCGCTTTATTGGCCGAGGGAGCCGGCGTACAGCTTCTGGGTCATGTGGCCAGCATGACTAAGCTGCTTCTGGCAAACCAGAGCAGCGCATGGAAACACCGTTTACCTTCCCGCTGGAGTGGTACCTATTTATCTACTTGCACTTTGACGTGCTTTCGAACTGCTAGGTTGGAAGGAGCAGGGACCTAGGAATGGGAGCTCACAGCGTCACAGGGATTCGAACTGCCGACCAGATCAGCAAGTCCTAGGCTCTGTGGTTTAACCCACAGCGCCACCCACGTCCCACCATTCATAGGCATAGTATGCCATTATCACTGGTGGATTTGTCTAAACTCCTTTTAAATACCATCCAACTTGGTGGTCATCATTTGTTGTAAACTGGGGTGCAGCCTTGCAGGAAGGAGCTGCACAAATGGCTCCCTGGCAATCTGATGCAGAGGACAGGAAATACGCTGCCTGTTGGCCTCGGCTATTGCCCTGCTTGTTTATTTGTACATAAAGCCAATATTACAAGGATGGCAAAGTCTCTAGCACTGGTGTGGAATACATAGGAAACTAAACCCCCTGGGGGGGGGAGTGGTGTGCCCAGTTGCTGCAACTGCTCCATATAGCTCAGACCTAGGAACAGATGCCTAGACCAGGGGTCAGCAACCTTTTCCAGCCATGGGCCGGTCCACCGTCCCTCAGACCATGTGGGGGGCCGGACTGTATTTTGAAGGAAAAAATGAACAAATTCCTATGCCCCACAAATAAGCCAGAGACGCATTTTAAATAAAAGCACACATTCTACTCATGTCAAAACACGCTGATTCCTGGACCGTCCGTGGGCCGGATTGAGAAGGCAATTGGGCCACATCCAGCCCCTGAGCCTTAGTTTGCCTACCCCTGCCCTAGACCCTCAATTTGTGTGCATAGGTCTCCAGAGATGGAGAAGCAGGGCTTTTTCTCCAGCCTGAACTCAGTTCCAGCACCTCTCAGGTGGGCGCCATTGCCATTATAAGAGAACAAGGGAGGCATTAATAGTGAATTCTTCTGGCACCTCTTTTTCCAGAAAAACAGCACTGTGTTGAAGCAACTGTGTCACCTAAGACAAGGAAGCGTTAACTCTCTGCCATGTGCATTCAATTGACTGGGAAGATTCCTGGACAGAAGTCGAGAGAAAGCCCAGGGCAGCATATAAAAAAATTAACTTTGGGTGCTTCCGGACAGGGACATTAGATCTGAAACAAGCCACACAGATCCAGCTTTTCTGTGTGTGGGTTTGGCATGTTAAGCGTCCACACATTCCTGCTTTTCCACCCATGGGTGTTCATTGTTATTCCACCGCTTGTTGTCTGCACTTGTGGGCGGAGTTTGACAGGACCTGTCCCCTCCCCTCTCAATCACAGGAACACAGGAAGTTGCCTTAGATAGAGAAAGACCATTGGTCCACTTAGCGTAAAATCATCAATGCTGAAACCATTTCGGGGTTTCAGAAGGGACATTCCCAGCACTTCCTGCAGATGCCAGGGATTGAACAGGGAACTTTTGGCATGCAAAGCTGATGCTCTACCCACTGAGCTACAGTCCTTTCCCCCCCCCCCCATTAGTCCTCTTTTCTCTCCACTCATTCTGGCCAAGCATGTGGGTATCTCTACCTGACGTACACCGGATAAATAAACTAATCAATATAGTTACTGTTTGGTACTGGAATTTTAGCATCAGGATTAGAATGGCCAAGTTTTCTTCTGGAAGGGTTCCTATGTCTTTAATATCCACCCAACTGGCATTAATTCCAAAGTTTTCACCATCTGAGTGGGCTCCTTCAGGCTTCCGTTTCATTGATGACTTGTGCTCATGAGGTCATCAGGGCAGTCACACGCAATCCTGCTTTCCATACTTTTGTGCCGGCATAATTTTTTTTTTTGGGGGGGTGCTTCAGTGCATAACCTGTCACTTCCCACTGAAATCTTGCAGATTTTCATACCACGGGCTTTCTTTGTTTCCACTTTGGTCATCTGGGCAGCAATAATGTGGCATGACACGGGGTGAAATAATAATAATAATAATAAAATTTTTTATTTATATCCCGCCCTCCCCAGCCGAAGCCGGGCTCAGGGCGGCTAACAACAATAAAACAGTACAAAAGTACAGCATAAACAACAGTCTAAAATCATTCGTTATAAAATTAATTAATTCAAGCCACTGGCAACCATTGGGCCAGAGCTCCGCGAAGATTGCCGAGGGAGGGAGTCAGGCTGTGCCCTGGCCAAAGGCCTGGTGGAACAGCTCTGTCTTGCAGGCCCTGCAGAAAGATGTCAAGTCCCGCAGGGCCCTGGTCTCTTGTGACAGAGCGTTCCACCAGATCGGAAATGCCACGGAACAACAAATAAAATGGAATAAATGCAGGGTGAATGCTCAATAAACAGACTGTCTGGCTGAGATAAACCAACCAACGACTTGAGAGAAACCTCAGTGGACAGATCCATCCGTCTCTTGCTGCTTTCAGCTTGGTGACTCAACTTGCAGCAGGACCAGTGCTTTTCTTCTGGGGGGATGTAGGGATACACATACCCCTAAACAGTTTGTGAATCTAATGGGAGAAGAAACTTAAAATTTTAATTTTTTTAGTTTCTTCTCTAGCACGGTGAATCATCAGTTCTATTACTACCCCTTTTGTCCTACTGTATTTATTTCTCCCAATTTGAACTATAAAATGGTGGTTTTCTTGAGTCAAAATGAGAGTACCCCTAAAAATTTTTAGGTTCAATCCTAACCACCTCCAAGGCTGGGAGAGATTTCCTGTCTGAAACGCTGGAGAGCAGCTACTAGTCAGCGTTGGCAAGACTAAACTAGATGGGTGAATGCTCTCAGAGTTGTAGAGTTGGAAGGGACCCTGAGGGTCATCTAGTCCAACCCCCTGCAATGCAGGAATCTCAGCTAAATTATCCATGACAGATGGCCATCCCAGCTGTGCCCCCACCCTGCTGGCAACTTCGCCTCCCCCACTGGAGCTTTGTTGTTGTTGTTGTTCTCCCTGCACCCTCCCCTCCACCCCTGGAAGCAGCTGAGGCCAGCAGAATCCAAATGGCCTCCCACAGGAGCCTGGAATTTCCCCCCCCCCGACTCCTCCACAGGCCTGCCTTGGCCCGTTCCTGCTGCCACCTCTGCATCTCCCTCCCTGTGCACAAACAGCCTCTGTGTTCATGGCCCTTATCTCTGGGAGCATCTCTCATCCACAGCGCTCCACAGCTCAGCATCCTACAAAGAGGGGGCTTGTGATTCAGGCATCAAAGGCGATCACCAGTCATGCTTGCATCACAGAAAACGCCGGTCAAGGTCGAGGCATCCTGACAAATGCTGGAGGCAAAGGGGTGGGCGGTATAGAAATTTAATAAGTAAGAAATAACAAGAAACACAAATCTCTTACATGTACTCTTGGGTTTTCCCAGACACAGAAGCATACCCTTTGCCGAGGGGCTAATGGCAACTTCCATGGTAAGCAGGGGAATGGGATGGGGGCATAGCTGTCAACATTTCCCTTTTTTAAAGGGAAATTCCCTTATTCCGAATAGGGAAAAGTTGACAGCTATGGATGGGGGATGGTTGAGCGTCAACCCTTCCGCTTCCAACCATCCTATCTGTTTGGCAGGCAATCTTGCCTTATCAAGAATCCTTTCGCTGGGTTAGTAGCATCCATGCTGCTGTTGTCACATACATAAAAAGTTTTTTTCAGTTCCTGTGGAATGTCGGTATCATGGACTACGCAGAATTGGATAAAATGACAGGAAGGATTCGAAACCTGCAGGACCAGAGATTTACAGAAGATTGGAAGACATATACGAACTATTTGAAGAGCAACTGTAATCAACAAATTACGCTAGTAGGATTGCAAGAAGTTTCGTAAGGAGAAATATATGAAATATTGCAAAGAAGAGAAAGATGAGAGATATTAGTTATGAGAGTTAGGTACTTCCGGGGAGGCGCCTCCGGTAATGGCGGAATTCCTCTGACCGGAAGGAATCTGCTCCGTGGGAATCTGGGTCTGGCCGCCACGGCGAAGGCGGAAACCCGTTAAAATCACAGGCGGGAGAAGCCTGTGAATATGGGATTCGGCGGGCACCTTTTGTGCCTCCCCCACTTGCAGGGAACCCCGGTTTTTGGGGCTCCGGAGCGACGTGGGGTGAGCGGCGCGGTGCATCGAATCGTCTGCTTCTTCCACGGAGCGAAGCCGCATAGCTGTTGCCGGAGAGCACTGACCTTTTCCTGTGGACAATTTGACTTTAAAGTAATTACCCGTGAGTAGAGCTGAAGCGGAAGAATTGGATTTCTAAATGTTTAATTTGGTACCGTAACGGGGAGGTTCAAAACAGGAAGTCTGCCTCCCCTTTTGTAAATAGACTGAGGCAATGAAGTTGCAAGCTGGAGTCCTGGAAAGCCTTTTGTAAAAGATCAAATTTCCAATGGTAAAGAACATTAAACCCCCTCTTGGAGGCAGGAGAAGAGAGGGGGAAGTTGCGGATTGAGTATGCCTGCGGGAGAGAGCGAAGAGACTTAAAACACCGCCGCTCTGACCCTGGAAACGGCTTCTAGTAGGACTGACGTCTTTTGGAATGTTCATTGACAGCGTTTAGAACGTTCATTGACAGCTAGTTAAATAAGAGAAGTACATTGTTTCTACTGTCTCCGGCTGCTTTAAAAAGGAGTAAAAGTAACTGAAAATTGAAACTAATTTGAAACTAATTTTGGATTGTTTAAAAGAGGATACTATTGACTATTACAAATAGAAACTGTTTCCCCTAGTGGAAGCCTTTGAAACCGGTTGCTTTACAAGAGCTGGACTAGGGGAATTTCCAGCTGCAAGTTAAAAACCGTGAGACTCTGGGACTGACCTTGAATCTTTTAAGTGTTATGGTAAATGGAAGAGGAAAATCAGACCAGTCAACTGCTGACAAAACATTAAGGTCTGGGAGGACTTGGTAACAATCCAGGAGAGGTCTATCATTAGGCCCTCCTGTTCTTTCTGTTGCTGTCTTTGTACTAGTATATTTAAAACCAAGAGGAATGTCGACAGAAGAGGCTTTAGTGGCTGCATTATATAAGATAAATGACTCATTGGATCAGCTTCACAGGAAAATGGACACGATAAATGCGAAAGTGGATGTTTCAATTACTTTCAATTAACTTAAATACAGAAAGTATAAATAATACCAATACAGAAACCACCCAGAAATTGATACAAGAACCTATTTTGATATGGCAAACTGTGGAGGAAGTCATGGAAAAAGCTGTTGCTGCTGAAGGTAAAGTAACACAACTGGAGAGAAAGAGAAAGAGAGCCCCAGCCCTACAGAGGCAATTTGATGAACATAAGTTGACGCTTGCTATGACTGAACTTAAAGAAAAACAGACGAATTTGAGGATTAGAGTTCACCTTTGGTGGACATGCCCAAGGATTAAGACACTCTGGGAGATGATTCATAACGAAATGAAAAAGGTATTTAAATATACCCTTTTGAAGAAACCAGAGGCCTTTCTCCTGGGCATGGTCGGCCAATTGGTGTTAAAGAAGGATAGAATTTGTTTCATGTATGCAACAATAGCAGCAAGAATACTCATTGTGAAGTACTGGAAGACACAAGATTTATCCATTCGGGAAGAATGGCAGATGAAGTTGATGGACTATATGGAATTGGCGGAAACGACTGGCAGAAATCCGAGACCAGGGAGAAGAGCTGGTGGAAGAAGACTGGAAAAAGTTTAAGACTATTTATAGAAATACTGTAAAAATAATGAATGTTAGAAAAATGTTGGAATGAAGTTATATGGCTTTAGTAGAAATGCTATAAGGAATCAAGTATAAATAGATTAATAGTGTATTAAAGGGAAAATAAGGCTAGAATATGTTAAGATAATTATAGGATAGAAAACAGAGGAAGATGGAAAGGAATTGCTGAAATAATTAATAGAAGTGGAAAACAAAAAGGGAGGTGTGAGGAGGTCGTGGAAATAAGGGAATGAAAGATAAGACATTGAAATTGTTCTGTGTTTGAAATGGTTTGTGTCTTGCTTTGTTAGTTTCATGTTTTTCTTGTTTTTCTTTTTTTGTTCTTTCTTTTTTTTGTCTTTCTGTTTTGTTGTGTTTAAATGGTTGAAAATTAATAAATATTATTTTTAAAAAAAATATTAGTTATGAAATTTAAATGTAATAGTGAAAATAAGAAATATTAAGTGAAAAGATTGGAAAATTTTCAGATGTGATTGATGGAAGTAAAAAAAATTGTATAAGATATAAAAGTATGTTTAATAATTGTTGGAAATGATATGTTAAAACCTAATAAAATATTTAAAAAATAAAAAAGGAATGTCGGTACCTATAATTCCTAATAAAAAGGCTTCTGCCTTTCTTTTCTTTTTTTACAAAAGTTGTAAAAAAAAAAAGTTGTTCCCTTCGTGTCCAAGCAAAACAGCATAAGCAAAAGCTATATACAACTGAAGTTCCCAGCAGACTGTGCTGGAAGTAAACAGATATGTGACATACAACAACTCCACATGCCTGTTCTAATGGTGGAACATATCCTAACATCT